AAAGATATTAAAATCATGACTCTACTTTCGATTGATATTACGATATTTGCGATCGCACGCTTAAATAAAACGCGACGCGACACGTGCTCATAGCGTGCAGTGAGTGTGGGTATCAAATTGATCCCCCCCGGCCTTGATTATCAGAAAAGCAAGTCACGCCCCTGACCCACGTCACTCTGCTTCTCTACGTACACCGCCGAGTCCTAGAGGATACACGATCACAACAGGACCCGACTTAGTACTCGAGAAAGGACCTGAATCAAGAACTCTCGCCGGAAGTTACGCTCTTTTCCGTATAAAGAGGAGAATATACGTTCCGGCGAGGCCCCACTTAAGCTGAACCAAGCTGCACCAGGGTTGAAGCGGTTAGAGCTATCACACCTACTACACAGGTGATCACATGTTTCATTCTATCAAGCAGAGGTGATCGAGCAAAACTCTCTGGTCCTTTTAGTCGAGACATAATCTCGGAAAGTGAGAACCAGAGAACAAGCGAACGAGAGAAAGTTATACTACTCATATATATGTATACATGTACTCATTATATATTCATTTTAAAATGAGTGTCAAATTAATAATAATTGAATCTACTATGACATTTGTCATATTAAAAATCGCGGTGTGCAAGAAGATTACAATTTTAAGCAAAAGGTACTAGCTACACTTGCCAAAGAAAGCACGTATACAATCAGTCGAAACTTAACACCTTGCCTTACGATTTAATTTCCAACTGTGCGTGCCAAAAGCGTCACCAAGGTTTGGCCCAGTAGACTTATCACGTTTCTGGGACGCCTTATTTATGTTTGGCCCGGTAGATAGGTATTAGCAAAATGTTACAAGATCTTAAAATCTTATATTAATCAATGTCATCGAAACAAATATGGTACATGCATCGACACCATGTTATACATATCAAAAGGAACATTCTTATATTCATCAGTGTCATCGAAACAAATATTATATATGCATCGACACAATGTTATACATATCAAGTTCGTAATTGTAATGAAAGAAACTTGGATCGAGACACCAAGTTGAATCAACACCAAACAATCAAACGAAATGGAAGAATCAGCAAAGTACCTCCCTAGAATATTACGAGAATTCGAGCAAGAAAACAATATTACATTATTATATCCTGCAATATTATACATATCAAAGCTTGAATTCACATCAAACAAACAAATAAAAATAATAAAATATAAATAAGTGGAGTAGACTTACTACTTGTTGTCAGTACATAGGGTAGTTACCACTGGGCCAACTGTAAAGTAAGAAAATATTCATATTATAGCAAGATCAGTTAGACAAACAAGGCAAAATCAGTTCATTGAAGCAAAATTGGCATCAAACGATAGAATAGAAGAGGGGAGAGAATTTTTAAACAGTTCTTACCGTAGGCAATCACCGTCCGGCACTGGTCAGTAGTGGTCAGTAATGGTAGGAGCACTGGTCAGTAGTGGTCAGTAGTGGTCAGTACTGGTCAGTCATGGTCAGAGCTGGCCAGTAGTGGTCAGCAGCGGCCAGCAGAGGTCAGCAGCGTTCCCCGGCTCTCTTCTGGGTGTTTGTACACTCCCGAATTCGCGACGAGACTGAAGAATTCTTCGCAATGACCCTGCTTATATGTCTAAGGTGATGAAAGGGTCGGGAAACCAGTCACAGCCAAAGTTAAAGTTAACAGTTAAGACAGTCTTGTCTACAAAGAAACTATTTCGATTGGTCCCACCTCTTGACCATTTCTGGATCTTCACTGGACCGCTGACCTTGATGTCAACCTCACTGTTGACCACCAGTGACCATAAGCTAGTCATTGTTGATCATCGACCCATTAAAACCATTACGAAGATTAAAGCCTTCTTACGAGGATCCCCTTATAATTTGATGCATGACCTTTTTAACATTTTGTTCCACTATGGAAGAGTGTATCTCGTTAATTTTTGTTTTTTTGTACGTAAGTTCGAACAATTGCCATACGTGAGAGAAAAATTCGGAGGTGATTTTTCACCTGAGAAATTATTTACTGGATTAGTATTGAGGGGCAAACAGCTGTAGTTTTGTGTAAATCCATGTGAGTTGACTTAAAATTCATTTTTGAATTTGTAGGTAACGTTGCGAGTGACACGAAAATGCTAATGGGGTCCCGGGACCCCAGAGAAACGGGCCGAAAAAATACATTAGGTGGAAGGTCTACTCGTATATCTCGTCTGTGTTGATACATTGCAAAATTTGCATGTGTAATATCTGATGAAAATTGTTCTAAATTATAATAATGTATTTTTGTTGCTACGCATACTGTTTATCGTTGAAAAATTTTGATAACCAGAATTGTATTAGTTTTCGTTTCAAATCAAAGTAATTTGTTCTAAAAGGATTTTTGAATGTTCAAGCAATGAAATGTGGTTCATTCAAACGAGTAGCTGAGTTCTCACTATAATTTTAAACACTAAAGTAATTGGTTTTTGGGCAGTGAGTTGAGTATCCAGTGGAAATGAATAACAGATAGCAAATATTAGTATTGCTTCACATAAAAATGAAAATATTATTATACTCTGAAGTCTTCTGCATCAATCAAATTGCATCTACATGTGATGTATTATAGACAGAAAAGAAATCAATTTTTGTGAATGAGTAAAGAGAAGAATAGTACAATAGATGTAATAAATAAAATAATTACGATGGAAAGATTAGGGAAGAAAACGACCATTTAAAAAGAAAACTTATCAACCTTGATACACTTTGATAGACGATAAATGAATTATTATTTGCTCCTAATAATATTTAACGTGACAAAATTAGGTGACACATCCAGAAATTTATTATTGCAAGTATATACCTCTTTCGGTTCTTTACTTTTACTCGATCCTATATAATGAAACGAAGAAGATAGAATTTTAATCGTGGTGTATGAATATTCCAAGTTCCATCTGTTCTGACATTTCTGAATTGTTTTTTAAGTTCGATCAATTATAACACCCGGGTACCAAATTCGATAGAACCAATACTTTAAATATTTTCTGAGACTGGTATTACAGTGACAACGTCGAATATTTTCTAAAGCTTCTGGCTTCAATTCCCACCAGTAACAGCGCTGTAATCTTGTTCCATTCTGGATCAATATCGTTGGATGTGTCACTATCACAGACGAGGTATAGGATAGACTATGCATCTTATGGAAATTGATGTCGCACGAGCTGAAATACCGACCTGGTAAAAGACCAGTGGTTTTTGAGCGACCTCTTCGTCTAAAGAACGATGATTTAGGGAACTATAGCCAATGGAACGAATGAAATCGGTAAAGTTAACAAAAGTAGAAGATTTTCTTCCTTTACGTGTTAAAGTTCAATTAACACCAATGAATCAAACAAAATGGGCACGTAAAGTGCTAATAATATAAATGAATGGAATGGACTTACTACTGGTCGACAAATAGTTACAAGTGGTCAGGAAGCAATGGTTAGTAGTGGTCAGTAGTAATCACTCCTGGTCAGTAGTGGTCAGCTTTGGTCAACAGTAGTTAGTCTTGGTTAGCAGTAGTCAGTCTTGGTCAGTAGTGGTCACAGCAGTCAACAAGGAGACCCAGGGGTATTGAAGAATTCAACTGCAGTGTCCTTACCTTCCCTCTTTACAAAATAATAGGAGTGGGGATAATGAGTGAGGACACACAAAGTCAAAGTTAATCGCTAAGACTGTTTGGCCTTCAGAAGAACTCTTCGTCATTTCTGGATCTTCACTGGATCGCAGACTGGACCTTTGTTGACCATCGGTGACCATAAGCTAACCATTGTTGACCATAGAATGACCAACGACCCATTAAAACTATCACGAAATCAAAGATTGAAGCCTTCTTACAAGGATCCCCTTACAATCTATTATTAGTTTACGAAATTATTTATTTATTGCTTGAAGCATTTGATGAAACTGCATAATTAAATTTCTTTCTCGAAATAAAATAATTAATATTTCCATGACTGACATTTCCCGTTCGGAAACCCATGCATGCAGCGACGAATTTATATATTTATTGCGACGTAAAAAGACTGAAACTCTGGTATATTAATGCTATACAAAGCGAGATACGTTTGGATCAAATTGAATTTCACCATGTTAGACATATACAAGTGGATATTCTCGCGGGATATTTTCAATTTGAACAGAGAGAAGTGCTAAAAAGAACGTACTGACAAGTGCGCTATACTAGGAAGGCGTCATTGAGCTAGCAGAGTCCATTCCCGTGGCTTTGTTGGACAATATTGGTACCGAACCCATGGGACATGCCGGCCCAGAGGATCTCTATTATGTCAAGAAAGGGCAAAATGAGCTTCTTGGGATTTTCGTACCATTCATTCTTGCTCGAAAAACCGATCGTTCAATAGACATCATTTCGCCTCAGGCGTACCAAGGAGTTTAAACGGTGAAGTGGAAAGCTTCTATTCTACGGATCGCCTTGATTGAAGTTTCACGCATCAAAAGTTCTATATGATTCTCGTGACCTCATCATCCTCAAGTACGAATTTGCAGGAGCTAAGATTTACATGAATATTTCCACACACTAGTAAGAAATTGTAGATGATAACATTTGTAAATGAATACCACTTTAAAAATAGGTACATAAATTATTCACATTAATTTTCCTTTGTATTTTATTTATATGTAACTTTAAACGGAGTTTAAATCAGAAAGCAGTACAGTGGCATTGAGGAATATATCAATATCTACACTATAAAATCGTTTGAAACAAAAAGCGTTACAGTAGTTTATGTTAAAAACTGTTCTACTGTGTACACCGTTAGAAGCTGAGAAATACGAGAATTGTTTTGTTTGTAAAACATGTTTTTGTTAACTGTTTCAATAGATCTTTTATATAGATGTGTAACATAGATATACTTCGTAGTTATATTCAGTATGGAATCGATGTGCAGTATTACAGCTAAAACTAGAATTGAAGGGCTTAGAAATTTCGATTCTTTGAAATTGTTTCGAGATTCGGAATCAAACGTCTATTAGTTCTCAACCCCTTCTTTCAATGCACCCATGTGGCAACAATATTGTAATTTCGAGCGTTTTTCAACATCTGACGTTAGATTGACAGGACATTCTTTATCATAGCATATAGTATCTTTATGCCCGTGACAGATGCTATCGCAAATGCATTGAAAACGAACAATTTTTATGACATGAAGATCTCCAACGTTCGTGAAAGTATAATAATTTCCAGTTTTCAATTCTAACAATTCATCTTCGTCGTTAATGCTTCGAAACATCAGGTTTGTATTATTTTTTTTTAATACTGTGCTGGGAATAATCGAGGCGTATCTGTTTTTTATAATTTCAAGCTCCACCATTTCTTCGCGTGCTCGCTACAGTGAAAATAATTATGATTAGTACGTATATCGTGTAGCTAATGTAAAGTACAAAGAAGAGTTTGCAGCTTTAAGAGTGGTTTTCGCAAAGCGTAAGAAGACGCGAAAGGAAAATTGTTTGTCTTTACAGCTTTCCATAAAGTGAGCTTGTAAACCTAAGATCATCAATTTCTGAAGCATATAACGCATCGACATGAAACTTTACCTGTATTTCATACTCCCTGCGGTTATCTTCGATAAGCTTCCACCATTTTGCATTAGCAGTCTGATATGCACTCAGAGCTTTTTGGAATTCCGGATAAACGTCTGTGCCCAAACTCTTATAGCTGAAAGCGCCAGCTGCGCTGGTATTGCCGTCTTTACCGTAGGAGCTGCCACCCAGGAACCAGACGGTGTACTCTTTCAAAATTGGAAACTGTCGTGTACGCATATACCAATATAATGAAAAGTAAAGAGCGAGTTCCTGATTGGGTCCGCCCTTTCCTGGCTCGGGGCAGAGATTGACAGTTTGTCGACCCCCTAACAAGAGGCACAGACCCAAACCCCATTTGTCTTTCGCCGGGAATATTTCTTGCACCTTCTTGTCGGTCAGAGAACAAATTGGACTCTCTTTCATCTCCTGATAGAAGTCCAGTCTCGTGATTTTCCCTTCTACCGCCAATATCATCAGAGAAGTCAGCTTAACGTATTCCCGGGCGAATTCTTGGACTTCCCCAAAGCAGGTGGAATTCAATTTCAAAGGAAACAAGCCCAATTTAAAAACCTCCACGGACATGCATTCCATGGCGTCCGCGTTACAAGCTATCACGTATTCGTGGACAAATCTGAACTTATTATTTTCGGTCACTTGTTTGTCCGCGGCCATGGCCCACGGAATGGTCTCTTCTACCAATTCCCTTACGCTCTGTGGCAATCTATCGATAACCCTGTACTTCGCTAAAATTTGCAAGGCTGAGTCATCTTTCGGATCGTATACGCACGGTCCACCTGATAGTTGGGTCATTGGCTCGTCGGAAACGTCCGATGTGATCAGCGTGACGACTCTCGCTGGATAAGCAAACCGTGCTAGATCGCCTCCTGCGTTAAAATACGTTTTAGGCTAGGCGCGGATCGAGCATATGGCAACGCCACGCCGTGTAATCCCCGAGCAGAGATGGATAAAATTTCTATCTAAATGAAAAGCTAGAATAACGAATAAAAGGTAAATAAATTTTCGATAATGGTTGAAGCGTAGAATGATATTATTGCTCATGTTAAACGAACGAAAACTCATGTAAACAATGATTAATTCAAATAAACGTCATGAACGAATCGTTGTAAGTTTAATTTTATTCGTCATCTGTTATTTTTATAAAGTGTTACCTATCTCTGCCTCTGAATAATGCAATTCAGCATGCTTTGTATTTATTATAATCACATATACTTACGAAAACTAAAGAGAATAAATCTTTTTCGCCAGAAAAAAAAACGAAAGTTCCTATAAGGCATTACATATTAAATAGTATTCCTATAACAAATTGAATGATATTACACGTGTGAAACACTAGATGGTATTATCGTAGAAACATTTCGAAACATCATTTCTAAACATGACTAAGTTGCACGAACATTTTAATTTTTAAATATATTATGCGTACGAATAATAGCGAATCGTTGCATTTTCTATGTGAAATCAATATATATGCAGTAATGGAATACGTCGCCCTTTGTCAAAAGAACGTCGATCTAGAATTATTGGGGGAAAATCCACAGTTAATAAAATCATTTTCCACGTGTCACCACAGACGAGGCATACAAGTAGACCTTACATCCAATGTATTTTTTCGACCAATTTTTCTGAGATTCTAGAGCCCCATTTTAGTGTCACCTGCAACATTACCAACAGGTTACATAAATGAATACAGGAGGAAGTGAAACACAAAATGGAATTACAGAAATATTCCAGGCCACACATTATATTTTCGGTAAACAATTTTTTTCTCGAAAGTACGTAGGATTTCGGAACTATGTGTATTCACCAAAAACGATTGCCATTGACCCCCACAACCGGAAATAATTTGTCAAGAACGATTTGAAATTTTTTTTTCGCCGAAAAATTTAGGCAGCTACCCCTTTTTCTTAAACATTCGTTTTTGATTTTTAATAATTTTGTTTGACGCCCTATAGGAAGGTTGTCTAATACTTTTTTGTAGGTATCCATGAACCCTACTTTGGAAAAAAGTTTCATAGAAATATATTCACTATATCAGAAGTTATGGCTATTTGATAATTGGACCATTTTTATGTGGTTTTTCTCACTTTACGGGGTCAAAGTACAACTTTTTCAATATTGTTAGAATTTCTACATATTCTCCATTAAAATACGCGTTGTATGCTTTTTGAAACATTAAAATCCTTCAATCCGTTCAGAAGTTATGATGTTTTAAAGATTCGCATGAAATTTCAGGGAAACATATCAATGTATGGTCAGTCATTATATTTTCAGTAACGAATTTTTTTCTCGAAAATGATTAGGATTTCGGGGGTATGTCTATTCACCATAAATGATTGTAATTGACCCCCGCAACCGAAAATAATTTTTCCAGAACGATTTGAAATTTTTTTTTCGCCGAAAAATTTAGACACCTACCCTCTGTCGATTTTTCTTAAAAATTCACTTTTGATTTTTAATAAGCTTGTATCACGCTGTAGGGAAATGTTATCTAATACTTTTTTGTAGGTATCCATGAGCTCTACTTCAGAATTAAAGTTCAATGAAATACATTCACTATTGTAGGAGTTATGGTTGTTTGAAAATTGCATTTTTTAATCCCTTGCATAGTCAACTCACATGTATTTACACTCACACACCACAGTTTTCTGCCCATCAATACCAATTCAGTGAATAGCTTCTGAACTGACCGCCATCCATGAGAAGAGGACGCTAAAACCACCGCCGAATTTTCAGGTCGGTATGGCAGTCAAATTGGACCACGAAAGTCCATAAGGTATAAAGTCTACTCGTATAGCTAGTCTGTGATGTCACATCCAAGGGTAAATATCTCAGGCCACTACGATACATTGCACTATTGCAGTAACGCCATCCAGCGTTTCACCCACGCAACGACTAAAGGATGCGTTAGGTATGCCATACACCGTTCAAATTGGATCGATTACTATCTTCGATCGCCCAAAATCAATTAATCGTAAACACAAAATAAATTATAAGCTTTGGTTCTCTACCTCTAACTGCTGACAACTTGTTTCTTACGGTATTTATTTCCTCCGGAGTTGCTCCAGCTGTCTTCAATCTATTCAGTACTCTGAGCTTGTCTCTCAGTGTAATTTCTTCTCGCGGGCAGCACAGAAGGTCGTCGATTCCTTGCGAGAGCATGACTATCAACAGATCTTTCCTCTTCAATTTTTTACAGTAGTTCACAATTCTCCTGGTCGCCTCCACGGATTTCTCGTCCGGTTGCCCATCGACTCCTCCCTCGACGTAAGAGATATGACTGTCCAACTTGGGAAACGCTTCCGGGAAACTCCACATCATGAAAATCGATTTTCTAGGCACCACCATCCATCCTTTTTTCAATTGCTTGCCGACAATTCGTTCGAACGCAGCACTCATCGTAACCGCCTCTTTTCCCCATCCCACCATGTGCAAGTTATTCTTCAATCTGTATCTGACACCTTTAATCGATAGTATCGAGCGACCATCGTACTTGATTTTCTCCGGTATGATCACGGAAGTGTACACGCACTTTATGCCCGTTTCAACGACGTTGCTCAACTTGTCGCGAATCTACGATGCAGGTCGAAAAATATTAGGGAATTATTATATGTCAAAGTTTATTTCAAAATAAACATAGGAGATAGCATAAATAATAACAGTTAATATATTCGTCAGATTGGGGATTAAATACCCTTTAAAACGAATGTTCATTCAAGTCGATAGTGTAATTAGTTCGGGAGATATAAGGGTTTGAAGCGTTTGTTTACATTTCATTGTTTACGTCGCGAGGTCAATGAACTTTCTTACTATGGCCTTGGCAAGGTTGTTGACCGCATGTGCTCGTAGTAAATAGTAAATACTACGTCACTCACGTGCAAAAGAGTCACGTCCAACGCGTTAGACGAAGACAGAGATAGTGGAAATTAAAAAATTACCCCTTTATTAAAACTACGATATTTCCAATACGGAAATTCGGATCGACAAAACCCAAAATTCATTTCAAAGAGGAAGAGGAAGAGGAATTGCACGCTTATAAAGTTTGAGTAATTTCAATACGTGTTACTGGACTGTATATTAAAATATTACAGCCAATATTTAATTTATTTGAATAATTTCAATCGAAGCAATTCTATTAAATGTTTTTGAAGTTACTGACAATGGCCGTTTCATGAAATTTCGTTTACTTTGATAGTCTGTTGCTTTCTATTTAAATTTATTGCTTTGAAATTAGTGTTCTATCAAATTTGGGCGCAAACAATTAAATATTACAGCACAGAAATTTAAGATGTATTAAAATGGAAAAATTCTACATAGTGAAGTATAATTGGCAGTATGTGTGGTCGTTTTCGAAAACCTCTAACATCATCTTTTCGCTCCCTTTCTTCTTAATGTCTCTGAAGTGCTTCTGGCGAGCTCTTTCTTCTTTTTCAAAAGTTGCATTTTGCAAAGCTCGCTTTTCCATTCTTCTCTGGTGCAACGAATGGTGAACTTGCTCAATAACCTTCTGTCTTTTCTCCTCGATAGCTTGTACCCTTTTTCTGGTTTGTTCCTCTGCCTCGGGATCTTTAGTCCTTGCCTTGCGTTTCTTTGGCCTTTTCTTTTGTGGTTTCCCCATAATTAAATGGCCCGCGTATTAATTTTGCCTTTATTTCCTTTGTACTCGTAAGATGTTACATTTTCGGAAAATTTGGATGGTGTGACCAGGTTATCGGAAACGGATACTATTTATCCATTGAAATTAGCTGCAGATGTTAATCTTGAAATTAGCGCCTACATCACAGACACGATATCTGTGCCTATATTAAAGTTACCATCAATAGCTACAGTTTTGGCAAATCTGGTATATAAAGATAAAGGTTTATTCTCAATATTCAAAGATACATATTTAATAACGAATCGTTTCTTCCTGAGATAGATAAATCAATTTGCAAAGAAAATGGACAATGGAATTGTATAGTTATCTAAAGTTGAATCGACAGAACTAATTCTGTAGAAGCACATAAACCGTTCAAGTTCGTAGAGAAATAGTTCCCATCTTTGCGACTAGATGGCGAAACAAATTTGTTTATATCAATATTGGCAGTTTACTTTAGATATATTATCACACCCGAAGTATAGAACAGATTATATACGTTACGACCAAATGATTTTACCTGTTATGAGACCTCTTATCATTCCCCTATCACTACCAACGTTATTCGTTCAGACTGGAACTAAAGTTTTATTGAAATGCTTTTTACAACCAAAACGTGATAAACAGTTTTTAAAACGTGTTTCTTGTACAAAAAGCATTTTCAAACTTTTTCTGGATTATAATTCTTCCTTACATGCGAGAAAGTAACCAGTGAAGTTTAGATGATGTTAAATGTTCCTCTTACCAAAGTTTCCTCATAGATTTCGAAAAATAAGTACACGCGAGGATGATATACTAAATTATGTATATTAAGAAGCATTTCCTGCTATAGTGAATTATTATCAAAAGGTGTTGAAGGTAGTTTTCGTACTTTGATGATAATCTACCCGTGATAACGATATTATTCCCAGCGATGCATCGCATCCGACTGCATAGTTATCTGCAATTATTAATTGATCCTCTTTCCTGCACACGAAGATGTATCGCGATAGCAAATGGAAGCCCAGTGTCGCATTAAGCAGGGTAAACCGCGGTCGTTGAAGCGACTTTCGTAGTTTCCTACATCTTTATCAGAGAGTACAAACGAGATCGTTCTTTTGGTGACCAGGGTTGTCTTTGTACACGCGCGTGTAAATATTAGCGGAGGATGATGAGGGCCTTCCAACATTTCCTCTTTCATTCTTTTTCTTTTTTTTTTCACGTCACTGTTCTGCCATTGACCGTCCTCTACACGCCAGCCTGCCTATAGATCCCGGTCGCCGTCGCGACGTCACTCTGAAAACCTGCTTTTTACCTGCGCTCCTGCCACTTTCAAACATTACCGAAGACTGCTCGCTGATATTACCTTTATTCAAACGCGACTATGTCCCTCCTCACTGGAGGGCTAGAAGTTTTCACCGCGCTTGGGAAGTGGATCGTTCTTTAACCAAATCGCTCGAGGCGTTCTGCGCTGGTTCCAGATCGAGTCAAGCAGTGTTGCGATTTTGTGGTTGCAAACTGATTAGTGGTAAAGCATGGTAATTGCTACGCGGTTGCAAACCTTCAATTAAGCGATTATTATCTGTTTAAAATCCTTTGTCTGCTACTTCCTTAAAGGATAGATTTAAAGAAGATATACACATAGGCTTTCCTTGCATATTAGTTAAAAAAAATATATATTTATCGTCCTTCTTAAGGTTTGTGGTTAGTTTTGGTTATTTTAAATTCTTTTTTAATTCGAATATTTCAGATTTTCTTCGATAGGACTTAAAATGGGAGAGTTCAAGGCGTTTGAATGTTAGGTTGACTCGTTAGACAGTATTGAATTATCTATTGTGAATATAATTTTATTGTAGTATCGTTTAAAAGACAGATCGACGAAAGCACACGTAGCAAAGGGGCAAATCAACTGGTTTGTGTGTTGTTCGTGACGTTACGTTGACTCACTGGTAGATCCTGCGGTACGGTGTTAATTTTGGACTGTACTTGATCATACATCCTCGTCAAAGCAGAAGATTGGGATCACCGATAGAGCTTTGCATGCGCTGACCTACTGCTGTTGCACAGTTTGCAGCATGTCGTGTATCTCCGAAAGCTGTTCGCTGATCGACACGATCACGCCGCACGATGATGTAAACTCGTACAATTAGTTGGACTCCATTATAAGTCGAAACGCGAATTCGTGCAAACTGTAGTTGAACTATTCTGAACACTTTCAAAACATCGATGAGTAGATAGCGAAGATTTAATTATGCGGGTGCCTTTGTATACATCAATCAAACATTCGTTTTTAATTTGGGATAATTGCTGGGCTTACCAATAACAAATCTTGCATTTCAAAATTGATGGTTATCTTCTATACATTGTATTTATGAATACTTTATTAAATAGGAAAAATAAAATTTGTAACTAGAAATAAAAAATAACAAAATGAATTTTCTATCTCTTAGAGATTCCTTCCTCATATTATCTAAAATATTCGAGGACTAGTTTACAGTTGTTTAGAATCTGTAATAGGTAATTTTAATGTAATATCCGACCACCTGTTCGAATTTAGAAAATAATATTCGACGATGGAACGAGCAGACAAAATAGTAAATATTATTTACCAAAATATAGAAAAAAAGAAGTATTAGTTTTACGCTTTTCTGAAAGGAAAACAAACTTCTCGCGTACACTATAATATTCTGCACTCGTATCTTTCAAACAGAAAATTTCGAGCAAGATTTCAGGATACGGTCACGTCAACCTAGTCAATCGAATCTGGAGTATCAAAAGGTAGTTTTCTTAGCCCAATATTATATTTAGTTCATACACCGCCGTGCTACCAACCCACGCTCCGAAACAGGAAATATTATAGGGGAGGCCAAAGATGAAAGTAACAGATTTAAGTATTTATTTTTTCCTGACTTAATTTTCACTGCTCACTAGTCAATCCACCAATTAAAGTGGTAAGCTTGTGTACGTCTATATCGATCAAAGCTCTGTCAGTATCGTAAACAAACAATTTTTTATAGACACAGATTAATTGTAACACGTAACTGATGAGTAAATAAATATGTATCCAAATATAAATTAATATTCTCTTTACAACGTATAAACGAGCTAACGATTTTTTAGTCCGCATATTTTTTCGCGTTTCGTCTATTGGCGAAACAAGAAAAAGTTCAATACGCCAACCACAGAGTATTTTTTTCATTTACCATCTATTTTTGTTACGGTATCCGAGTTTTCGTCGATGTTCGTATGCCCTGTCGGTTAATTGATTGTGGTTTCGATACTGTTTCTTCGAGCGTTCTTTTATTATTTTGTTGCAGTTGTAACTTAATTGAAGTTAATAATTTTTATTGTGTTTCGTGTGATATTTTATTATGTAATGCTATTTAGTCTCTGAGCATTTTTTCTGTACTTATTTTATTATTTTAGTCTTAAGTTTTTTCCTTTAATTATTAATGATCTCAACTTAACCTTCCATTATTGTCACTGTTTATTTGTTCAATTTCATTCTTTGAATTACGATTTGTACATTTTGTGTACGCAAAATAATGCTGAATCACATGATTTACCGTTATACTATATATTGAGGATTATAAGAGGTACAATTTCACAAGCTGCTCTACTTTATTTCATAAAGGTGATTACGGATAGATCTCCTGTCTAGATATATAAATGTTGTCGTTAATCCCACTGGAAACTATGGACCAGCCATAGAACAATATATTACTCGATAACATCGGTCTAACTTTCTAACTTCGCGCTTTGAATTTAACGATATTTTAATTTTAATTAGTTAAAGTAAACACTTAGAAAAGTTATAAACACAGAAGACATCTCTAAAGCATCTATGTGCTACCCAATATTTACCAAAACTATCCAATACAGTATTAACAGTAATTAACAAATATACTCGGTAATATTACGCGTAAATATAACGTACAGTAATTTCATTTACCAGTCACGTAAACAATTTTCGTTTCAACCGTGTAAATTCGTTCGATTGAAAACTGTCTGTCGAGCTTTTATATTATGAGAAGAATCACCAAAGAATAAGACGTACTAGAATTCTTCGGCAACCAACATCATCCCTTAAACAGTGAGATTACCGTCGTCAGAATCACTCTGCAACGTTCACGTATCGTTGTCACAATCGAGTGACTCATTGTTAATTCACACACCTAACCGACGCCGCAGGTTCCCGGCCGATTATGGAGAAAACTAGGTGAATTGATAACAACGCCACGGTGAAACGATTCATCCCCCTACGCGGACGTCGAAAGGCGCCGAGCGTCGGTGCGCAAGCGTCTCCTGAAACGAGGTTGGCGACGCTGCACAGCGTCGCGTCGCTCACGGCGCTCACTTGAATTCTCGCCGCGTGTCCGTCGGCCGACTCGCCGTCGAACCGCATCCGGGACAGATTTTTGAACGCGACGGAGCCGGAAGTCGCGCGCTTCTGCCCGTGTCCTTCCCTCGAACAAGATCGATATGTCTTTTTAGATACCGGAGGATAAGAATCTCCATCCACCCCTCGACTACCTTTTTGTTTTCCTCCCGCTGTTGGCTCTCGTATTCTGGTATTCCCCCCTCAGTCTGACACTTGCTCGAGTTATGTGGTGCGCGAGTGAAAAGAAAAGACAGTGGAAACACTTCTCGATCATGTGGATGCCTCGTACGAAGCCACCAAGGACGCTACACTCGCTTCACGAACAGTTATTTGGCCAATGTCCCTACTGAGCTCCCCAATCCGTGGATTCTACGAACATCAACCGGAAATTACAAAGTAGAACAACGAGAGTTATTGGGAAGATATGGCTGCTACGAACAAGAAGAAGATCCAGGCGATATTCGTGAAAGTTACCATCGATTAACAACTTTGTCGATCCAGAATTCTTTGTCGAAGAATAGTGTCAGAGTACGAAGTACGAGGAAAAGGAGGATGGACTTATTAGAAATGGAGTACATTCGATCGGTTGAATGGTACTCGATCTAAGTGGCATTCTCAATTTGTTAGAGAACCATGTAAAACTGTCTTTCGAACGAGTTTCTTGTAATGTTACTCGTGGATCGTTGAATTTCGTGAAAGTTCTATACCGATCACAGAATATCGAAGAACCGGAAGATGAAACCAAGAACTCGGAGAAGCATGACCAAGTGCGATAGCGAGAATTGAAGTTCCGCGAATTTTCGTGCCTAATTCATCGTAGTCCTCTAGAAGGGCACGCAAGGTCAGTTGCCGATCACTCATTCCATTTTTACAGTTTTATTTTCTGGGAATCTTGACGTTAATTATTTCCCGCACAAACTCCGTTCCATTTCAGCTTTGAGTGTTTTGGAGAACCTCTTTCATCGCACGTAAATGTTTTCGCGAAATGATTTTGGAAGAAACAGAAACAGGGTACACACTTCGAATCCATAAGTCACATATAATTTAAATGTTTTCAAAATATAGATATTTATAGTTTACAATATTTCTGTAACTTCTGAAGCTAGTCTGATAGGATTTCAAATGTGATTAGAATTTATTTCGTTTCCTCATTAGTGAATATTTATAGCGGATGTTAAATGAATTACGTCAGAAATGACGTCAAATGTAGCGAACCAATGGTCATAAGGATTTTTTTTAAACCTTTTACTACTGCTATCAACAGAATTTTTAAAGCAATCACCTTTTTCTCAAACACCAAATGCAAATGGAACATTCAGCTTCGCTTTAATGCTATGCGTGCGTGATATCGTCGATCGATTATCGAAAAAATTACACATACATTCCAACGATCACGCCTTGTTAAACAAAATGTAAAGCTGACCGCAATTCCCGTGGAAAGAGAAACGCGTGCACAGCAGATCTTTTTCTGGACGAAAATATGAAGAATTATTCAGATTCAAAAACCGTTGACTGCACGCTATGGGACTAGGTGAAAATTCCGAATGCCAGTGGTGCCAACCCCGACGTAAACGGACTCCAGAGCCATTTATTCCGCTCAACCAGGCTATACTGAGGCCATGACTGACAGGTCTGGGTTAGGTAGGAAGAACGTTGCCGGGAAAAAGAACACTGTTGCAGCATATGACTGTTATACATATATGCATGGATTTGGTTGATTCCGAACGTTGAAAACTATACCAAATTATAGTCGAAAGAATGACTGTGGCCACCTTGAACTACAGATTTCTTTAGAGAGCATGATAAACGTTGCATAGAAAATTATATATAATATTAAGGTCACTTGTTTTAAGATAAAACATTTTGAACAATTATTTGAGACTGTCTAAACTTTGATTAAAATCTAAATATACAAATTAACTTATATACATATTGGTCAATTCTGATATTTCTTTTATATGGAAAAATGATTTGCTCTGTTTAATAGGAAACTTGTTATTATATAGTTTAATTAGTAAATATTTTTTTAAGTCTAAAATATAGTCATAATTCCGAAAGCCAAAATATGATTTCATTTTTATAACATGAAAGACCAGTAATGTTTTCAATTTTTTTTTTCTACAATTTGTAAAACGTTTGTGTACACGCATTCGTATGTTTGTAGATTTTGTCAACCGAAAGACGAAAACGAAAGCTTGTTTTGTTGAAAAAATTTAATTATTGCGTGAGAATTCCAGGATTAGTTGACACGGAACGCAGAAGGATTCTGGTTCGTGCGTTCTGTGCTAGGTTTCCAAAGGACAATCGATAAATATCGATTAGTCTGTTCTTCGTGTATGAAGAAACCTGTAGTTGTATTATCCTGTCATGGCACTTCACTCGATGGGTGATATAGTTCAAAACGTTCATTACTTCGAGCAGTAGAATTCTACGGAAGACATTTTAATAAATTCATTTATTATTAGAAAATATTAAACATTTCAGTTGTCTCATTTACAGAAAATATTATGAATTATTCAACTATGCAACTTGTGAAGTAACAAGTAGATTCACGATGCCATGTTGCAATCGATAAAATGTGTGTAGATATCATTAACTTCTAATATTGCATTCATATAAATGTAATCAGAAATTCTTCATGACAATATTATATTCCTGCAATTACACATGCTATAGTGTTCATTTAAACATTCAATAGTGACAGATATTGCCCTACATTTTCCAAGTTTCGTAATAATTTTGAATACATAAAAACGAAAACAAAATTAATTTCAGTCCTGATTAACGATTCAAATTATGCCATAGATTCTTTTAAAGATCAATAATTAATGCAAGCAACGCAAAGCTTTTATATTCTCGGAGAAATAAATGAAATTTGAAAAATAGAGAAATTCGATAATAACGTCGCACTGAGACGCATTTAATCAATTATCTGAGCACACAGTCGATCGCAATTTAATTGCATGTTCATACATCTGAACTGCTGTTCCTTATAAAATCATTAATAACCGGATAGAAATATGGCAGAATAAAATGCTGTTATGTCACGATATTCGTATAACTGTTTTTGTATATTTCAGCTTTATTGCAATCAATGTATTATTTTAATGAATTGCATACAGTGCTCGATCAAGAAGCGTTGCTATTAACAAAAGTGTGTTTCAAATTTTATATTCATTTTTAAAGGTCTTGATATTAGAGGCGGTTTTATTTAAATGAAATAAATTAATCTAACGCACAAAACCGAAGAATTTGGATATCTTAAATATTTTACAAGAATGTTTACACAAAATACGCCCGATACCAGCAAAGATTCTATAAGGACGTACTTGTACAGAACGTACCACTGTGATTTGTTGTTTATCAAGATTTCCAGTCGAATCTACTTAACGCACATGGCAATCATTAAAAAAAACTCTAGATAAATAGTTATGACTACTATAATATATCACGAAGCACGACGAAGCACATTTCGCAAAAGAGTTGATAAAGAGCACGAGACCCTGCAAGCACACGCCACCCTTCGTGAATTGCGTTTAACCTAATATGGGAAAACCGTCACGAACATCTTGAGTAATAAGTATCAAGCGCATGTTTCGCTCTTGAAATGTTTTCAACCCCCTTCGAACAATTCTATTTCTTCCAATCTTTCGAATAATGTTTCCACGCATTTATCTAAAGTTTCGTTTGTGTTGCTAAAACAGTTCGTTTAAAGACTAGATTTGGAGAGTGTGGAGTTAAAGTCGTGGTAAAACCGATAATGGGGTAATTCCTTATGTGAAAACAAATGTATGTAAAAGTCTGTAATATTTTTACATAAAAAGTTTTGCGTTTGAGGAAATCAATATCGAACATTCGTCGGGTACGCGTGCGATCGAGTGCGGCTTGGCTAATGTGTCTGGCCATTACTCATTATTTCTACTAGTGTTTGTAAACATTGACACGGTGCCGCGGTGTTGTCTGTTTTATCTGTCCCTAACTAGTTAGAAGATAGTAAGATCGACAGAAAACAGTTAATACCATGCCACCTTCAAGGTTTACGAGCACCAATACAAGTAGAAATAGCAAATAATGGTCAGACACGTTAGCAAAGTTGTGTTCGATTGAACGGGAAGCTAATCAATCAAGAACAAAGAAATAATTTTTATTTTCTTTTGGACGAAGAATTATCCTCTCTCCAGTTGTTTTACAAATTTTTAGAAAAGATTAGAAAAATACTAAGAAATAATTATTAATCTTACGACTAATGACCATTCGTTAGGCTATGCCTCATATAACTGTGTTGAAATTTGAAAAATCACTACTCAACATTTTCCACGTTAAAACGAATTTCTCCAGACGTAGAATTGAATTTTTTGCCATTCCCGCGCGATTATTTCTGAATTGGAAATTGGAATAAGAAAAAGAGAACCAAACGAGCGATTATCGATGTTGCCTAAAGCTTTCACCGTAAGCCGGAGCATTATTTCAAAAGAGCGCGTTTTATTGTGAAAATCTGAGTATTACAGAATGCACAGAATAACAAGTAGTCAGTTGCGTTACGATTATGTCAGAAATTATCGAAACAGAATTTTTTATGTACAATAAGAAAAAAGTATTGGATGAAAAAGAAAAAAATAATGTATCAGTCTGAAAGATGTTATTTTGTACATTTATGAAGTTGAATATAATCAATTAATCATTTTCAAATAATATCTTCTTGTCTAATCTGCGAGCTTTATATGTTGCAAGCACGTATTATGGTATCTGAACGATTTGGAATGTGTCTCGAGTTCGTTGCTATAATTTCTCCCATCAAATATACACGGATCGTCTCTCAAATATGAAGACCAGTAGCTTATCGTAAGACAGAAGTTAGTTTGTGACGTCATTCACAGTCGACGAAATGGCCTTGAACGGCCAGTTGAATTTGCGCTTGCAATAATAGAAGCTTTATTACTTCTACGCTAACTGTAGACTGATAGCTGACTCGAGGCTTAATTGCTTCTGAGTGTTCTGATTGACGACTGAATGATAACGGACTTCTGTGTAAAGTGGTACACGAAAATTTGGCAACGATGCGGAATTACCCCCAGGCACCGGATCGTCCGTTTTAAAAGCCCATTAACAACGATCTGTTAAGAAGTAACTTTTTAAAAAATTTTTTTTTTCACACTTCTAAATTCGTGGCACGTTCGCTTATTACTAGAAGTGAAAGAAACAGAATCGCTACGCTTTAAACCAGAGACTCTCAACCCTTTTAACGACCACACTCTTAAATTTCATTTTAGCTTAACGCGAAAAAGAAAATTCAGTAATTTTCTCCAGTTAAAATGTGTTTGTTATTAGACTGCACAATTGTTTATTTTATTTATGATACAAGAATAAAATAAGATAATCTTCTATTTGATCAATATGAGTGTTTAAAACCCACGCAGTGACAAATAGAAAAATAATTTTTTAGCCACCCTACGTTTCGAAACATAAAGGAATGTAAAATAGCTCAGCCAACGTTGTTTTTAATTAATATAAGACTCGGTAGTGGCGTTTTTCTTTACACAGAACACTGAGCACTAGCGAGTCTTGCACTAATTAAAATTACTACCGACTGGACAATTACTTTGCTTTGTTTATATTTTTAAACATACGCTGACTGCGATATCGTGTTCTATTTAAGAAATTAATCTTGGTTAATCCCATCAGGATATTCTTTGCTTCTGCTAACAAAATGTTAAATGAACAGAAAATCTCTTCGACTTAAAAGTTCCACGAAGTCTGGGGCCGGTATCGTGAAATCTGGCAGCGTCAGACGCTAACAGTTATACCATTTGATACCTCCAATTACTCTCCAACCACTGGCAT